AATTTCGGGTTCGCGACATCACTAATTATTACATAGTTACATAGCTGTAAAGAGACTTGCGTCCATCAAGTTCAGCCTTCCTCACATATGTTTTTGATCCAAAGAAGGCGAAAAAAACAGTCTGAAGCGCTTCCAATTTTGCAACACCCTAGCAAAGAATTCCTTCTTAATCCCAAAATAAATAATGTTAATGAAAATATATATTAAAAAAAATAAACGAATTCAAAATCTAAATTAAGACCATTGGGATAAAGAGAATGTATCTAAAAAATCCATCTACTTTCGATCTTTGCCAATTCTATTAAATTGTTTTCCCACTATGTCAGCTCAGTGTGGATAAAGCAGTTCACAGATGTTTTTAAATGTTTTGTGTTTTTTTTGTGAAACAGGTTTTTTTATTTTATTAAATATTAATTTAATATTTAAAGGACCACTATAGTGCCAGGAAAACATACTCGTTTTCCTGGCACTATAGTGCCCTGAGGGTGCCCCCACCCTCAGGGTCCCCCTCCCGCCCGGCTCTGGAAAGGGGAAAAGGGGTAAAACTTTTTCCCTGGGAGCCCAGGGAGTCCCCCTCCATCAGTCTCGGGCCCCCTGGGCCATGTGATTGTGAGGTCCTTGCGAGGACCTCGCGATCACATGGATGGCATAGCCGTCCAAAGCAGTGCCAGCAGAGGGAGTGTCTGTAATGACAGGTACTCCCCATGCAGGCTGTAAAAAAAAACCAGATATTTGAAGCTGCTGGTGCCTCTTGAGTCCCACGGACATCAAAGTGTAGAGTTCTCCAGAGTCTTGCAACTATTCGGCCACCACTAGCCAATGCTCACAAGCAGAAACGGCTGCATTGGGCAGAAAAATACATGAAAACTAATTTTCAAACAGTCCTGTTCACCGATGAGTGCCGTGTAACCCTGGATGGTCCAGATGGATGGAGTAGTGGATGGTTGGTGGAAGCCACCTTGTTCCAGAATTCCTTGGGCCAGAATCATGGTAAGAGAGCTGGTCGGCCCCTTTAGGGTCCCCGAAGGTGTAAAGATGACCTCTGCAAAGTATGTGGAGTTTCTGACTGACCACTTTCTTCCCTGATACAGAAGGAAGAACTATGCTTTCTGTAATAAAATCATCTTCATGCATGACAATGCACCATCTCATGCTGCAAAGAATACCTCTGCATCAATGGCTGCTATGGGGATAAAAGTAGAGAAAGTCATGATGTGGCCTCCATCCTCCCCTGACCTCAATCCTATTAAGAACCTTTGGAGCATCCTCAAGCAAAAGATCTATGAGGGTGGGAGGCAGTTTACATCCAAACAGCAGCTATGGGAGTCTATTCTGACATCTTGCAAACAAATTCAAGCAGAAACTCTCCAAAAACTCACAAGTTCAATGGATGCAAGACTTGTGAAGTTACTATCAAATAAGGGGTCCCATGTTAAAAATGTAACGTGACCTGTTAAAATGTTTAAAAAGTTAAAATGTTGTTAGAAGTTTGATTGAAATAGCTTTTGATTTCAGTAAATATGCTGCAAACACAACAAATGACAATTTTCAGTTCTTTACAACCTATAAAGTGCTTTGAAACTTACTGTGTGTAATCATTTGAAACAGTGCATTGTAAGTTTTTTATGTTTAAAAAAAATACTGTTATTATTAGGAGGTTTGTTCAATAAAATTTGAATTGTACTCTTAATAGTTGATAACATGAGAATTATGCTGACTGTTATTTACATTATTATTATTATTATTATGATATTTATAGAGCGCCGTCAAATTCCGCAGTGCTTTGCAATGGGTGGACGTACAGACATGTAGTTGTAACCAGACAAGTTGGACACACAGGAACAGAGGGGTTGAGGGCCCTGCTCAATAAGCTTACATGCTAGAGGGAGTGGGTTAAAATGACACAAAAAGGTAAGGATAGTATTAGACTAGTGACAGTTGCAGAAGAGGAATCAGTCAGGTAAATTAGAAAAATATCATTTATGTAAATTAGAAAAATATAATTTGCATAATAATTTGGAACAGGGTGTATATATATATATATATATATATATATGATCATTTGCATAATAATTTGGAACAGGGTGTATATATGATCTAAGTATATATATATATATATATATATATATATATATATATATACACACACACACATGCACATACATACACATAAATACACATATACTAAGTGTATTTTAATATTAATATATAATGATATATATATATATATAAATATCAAAGTACACATACAATGACATTGTTTGAATATATATATATATATATAATTATCATTATATATATATTTATTTATTTATATACAGTATAAAATATATATGTAAATACATTTAAAAATAAAATTAAAAAAATAATAAAATTTAAATATATATATATATATGTAATTTCATTCTAACTGTATTTTAAAATTTATATCAAAATACACGTAGAACAAAATAATATATATCTATATACATAAATATATACGTATATATCACTATATATATATACCTATGTATAAATAAAAATAATATATATATATTTATAATAATTCTACATACCGGTATATATTTATGTAATAATTTTACATAAATAGGTCATTTTATTAATTATAATTTGCGGGAACTGCCTGACAACCCATGATGGCCTACCATTTGCAATAGTAGACAACCCAAGGTAATGCAAATGGGGTATGTCCAGTCTTTTTTAGTAGCCACTTAGTCACAAACACTGGCAAAAATGGTGTTCAAATTAGTTTTTTGCATTTCTCATACACAAACAAATATTAACACCAACTTTGGCCATGTTTATGAAAAGTGGCTACTAAAAAAGACTGGACATACCCCATTTGCAATACCTTGGGTTGTCTACTTTTTCAAATGGTATGCCATCATGGGGGTAATTCTCATTCCTGGGCTACCATACGGTCTCAAAGGCAACGTAACCAATCTGCTGAATTTCAATGTGAAAAAACTGAAAAATGTAACATGCTATATTTGACCCTTTAACTTCCCAAAACATCATAAAACCTGTACATAGGGTGTACTGTTTTACATGTGAGACATCGCTGAATACAAATATGTGTATTTTATTGCAGTAAAAGCAAGCAGTATTATGACATTCAGAGTTAAAATGTCACGTAGAACTAAAAAAATTAAACAATTCTTATTTTCTCCAATTTTTTTATATTTTATTCATATTAAATTATGTTTTATACCTAAATATTTAATGGTAAATGAAAGCCCTGTTTCCCCTGAATAAAATGATATATAATAAGGGTGGGTGCACATAATATGAAAGAGGGGAATTGCGCCTGAACAGACATCTAGCGCAAATTCTAGTTTTTGTTTACATTTGGTTTTGATCACAACGTGTACATTTGGCTCAGTCCTTAAGGGGTTAAAAGTTGCAAATGAAGCTATATGGTTTTTATTTTGACATTGTGACCATGTAAATTTTTCCTTTCATTTTTTGTCTCCTCCCCTTTTATTAAATTAAAATGATTCCTGCTGGTGCTGCTGCAGCTCCCACTTTTTTAAAAAATGGCTTCCTCTGTAGTGGTTTCTCCCTGCATGGTTGAGTCTCACGGTGTGGCTACACCTGCTCTGTCCACAGAAGCAGTATGTATAAACAAATAGAGCACATCTTTCTCTAAAACAGAAGGACAGTCAGTGTAACATAGGAAGCAGCTGACCAGCCACTTACCTCTTCCACCGTGAAAAGAACAAAGCTTTCCCACATATCTACCTTCATTTTGTAACTTTACTTGAAAGAATCTGACAGAAATATTCACAACATTCTGAACTCTAATGTTGCTGAATAAACATGAATTTTAGCAATGGGAGAATCTCAGTAAATGCCTTGTAGCAGTCATAGTGCGTGTGTGTCTTTTTAAAACTCTTCCCATAATGAGTAGATATAAAGACATTATGAGCTCGACCTTATGGCTCTTTTATATTTGCCAATTCCTATAACTGAATGGATACACATATTGTAAGTTGATAGGTGGAAACAAGTTTAGGTTTGAACCTGGACATTGGTACAGCCTGCCATCCATACTCCTTAAACTTTCTGACATTCTATGGATCATGGAATGTGGTGTGACGGCAGATAAGAACCATTCGGCCCATCTAGTCTGCCCAATTTTCTAAATACTTTCATTAGTCCCTGGCCTTATTGTAACGGACCGTTTTGCACAAAAGGGGTAAAAACCGTTTAGGCGATCGGCCCCCTTTCCAGAGATACAGGCACAGCTACTGCAGAACACCAAACCCCCGAACTGGATACAAAATAGCACTCCAACTCCCGAACTGGAACCTCCCAAATAGCTGCTAGCAGACGAACAGGAAAAGCAGACAATCAGCTTACACTCCTGGCAATCAGTCTCTAACAGCATACAGTGAATCCCCCAAGAACGAGACAAGGCTCCGTGTTGAGGGTCAAGCAGTGGTCTGAGGTGCTGGCACACCCAGCCTGGTTTTTATTACAGTGTTTCAAATACAGGACCACCCACAGGGAGGGATAAAACAACCAATCATATCACAGTTACATCCCACATATTCCCTCCCCTTATCCTGAGAGGAAACTCAATTATACAAACAGTTAAAACATACTTTCTACCCAACTTTCATAACTCCAAAACCATACATCACATTCACATAAAATTACATATTCTCAATCAATCCATTCAGGGGAACAACATATTCAAAAATGGCACAAATCAGACAAGGGGTTCAAAAGTTAGTAAAAAGTCCTTTGTGACTAAATGAAGCATGGCTTTCTGGCCCAAACCAGTTTCAGAGTCTTCTATCCTGGAGAGTAATTCAATTATCTCCCAGGACAGACACAAGACTCCATTAAGCACATGGTTGCAAAAAGACACAAAACACTTTAAAATACATAAAGTCACATTTATTACATAAAACACAGACATGTAACATATCCCCAGATAGCTCAGGTCTGAGCGCACATTATTAAGTGAATGGCGCTCAGACCACACAAATACAGTTTAATCGCCATGGAGCCAAAGTCTTTACAGTCAGTTTCATACGAATGGGCTCCATGGGATTCCTATCTGGGGTATAACACATTCAAACAAATCTACCGAACCCCAGGCAGAAAAGCACGAATACAGCTTTTCTGCAGGCAAAAATAAAGTCTTTTAAAAGGGGGCCATAGTCCAAAGGCAGCAGGCGAGCAACCAGGCTTCTCCAATGCACTGTGGCGAGATTGGTCTCGTCACATCTCTCCCCTTTTACAAACAGACTAACAGGGTATCTGACCTCCTGCCGGTCAGTGCCCTTGTTAGTCCAGCAGCCCACCCACAACAAATGATCAACAGCACAGCCCACCCACAATAAATGGTTACTACACCTGGGTAAAGGAGAAGCTTGTCCATGTCCAGGTGCCTCACCACGGCTGGGCTGGGTACGGGTACGCTGACTTGGTGGGTTGCTGCGTGGGCAGAGACCAGCGGCACTCTGCCCTGTTGCCAGCGCTACTGGGAGGATAGCCTGGTTGAAGCCTGGTTGTTGGAGGGGGAGACCGACTGTCTCCCCTTTAAATACACCGCTCTGCTGCTGGAGACTGACTGTCTCCCCTTTAGATGCACAGTCCTGCTGCTGGAGACTGACCGTCTCCCCTTTGGTTACCCATCTCTGCTGCTGGAGGGGGAGACCGACTGTCTCCCCTTTGGCTAAACAGCCCTGTCGCTGGGGGGCAGAACCGACCGTCCCTACCCCCTGTGCTGGCAGTGTAGAGACTACGGTCCCATCTGCACAGTTGTGGGGCTTACTGTCTCCCCCTGATACATTAAGCTGCAGCTGGGGAGAGGGGGTAACAGGCTCCTCTCCCGATAGAACACTCTGCCGCTGGGGAAAGGAGACAGCTCTCTATTCCCTGCCCATTAATGATCCGCCGCTGGGGAGAGGTGGTAGCAAGCTCCTCTCCCATACATACTTTCATCCTCTGTGGAGGGAGACCGACTGTCTCGCTCCCAATACAGTGTCCTGCTGCTGGGGAAAGGAGACTGGGCTCTCTATTCCCGGTAGGACACTCTGCCGCTGGGGAATGGAGACTGGGCTCCCAATTCCCTGCTGTATCTCCCGCTGGGGAATGGAGACTGGGCTCCCAATTCCCAAAAAATCATGCTGCTGCTGGGGGGCAGGAACAACTACCTCTGCCCCCTGTAGCCCAGCCTGCCGCTGGGGAGGGAGGACGCTGCTCTCCTCTCCCTGCACTTTACACTGCCTTCCCGGCATATCACTCTGCTGCTGGGGGGCAGGAACAACTACCTCTGCCCCCTGTAACTCAGCCTGCCGCTGGGGAATGGAGCTTGGGCTCCCAATTCCCTGCAATATCTCCCGCTGGGGAATGAGCTCGGGCTCCCAATTCCCTGCAATACCGGTGGAGAGACCTCGGTCCCCTCTCCACCTGCCGCCTGGGGTTCCTCCCAGTAAATTTCAACAATATCTTCCCAGCTGAATGGGTCTGAGACTGGATCTGTCACTCTGCTGTCCTGCGGAGCCTTCCCAATGGAGTGGAAGAGATCTCGGTAGTCCTGCTCCAGTTCCCACTCCAGGGTTGCTAGGTGAGCCAGGTCTTGCTCTACCTCATGGGGGTCATCCCAGTCATGCCTAGCCTCCCTCTCATAGAAAATTTCCTGAAGTCTGTTCTGCGCAGGGCTCCCGAAGTCAGGCTCTGCAAAGGACTCCCATAACAAGCCAGGACCATCAAACTCCTCTCCCTCTGGCTTGTCATGCTCAGCTGTCCAGGGTATATACTGTGCCATATACCACCAGAGCGCCTGGTAGGCATCCTCCAGCCATAGCTCCTGCCATACCCGATGCTCTAGTTCCTTCACCCATTCCTCCAGGGGCTGCTCTCCCAGGAAGGGCATCCGCAGGGCCACTTGCTTCTGCAACCGCTGCTCTTCACTGGGGAGACTCTCACCCCGCTGGTATTGTACATTATCCAGGACCTGGATGGCCGGGATGCCTTATAGTTAGGATAGCCTTATGCCTATCCCACTCATGCTTAACCTTCTTTGCTGTGTTAACCTCTACCACTTCAGCTGGAAGGCTATCCCATGCATCTACTACCCTCTCAGTAAAGTAATACTTCCTGATATTATTTTTAAACCTTTGCCCCTCTAATTTAAGACTATGTCCTCTTGTTGTGGTAGTTTTTCTTCTTTTAAATATAGTCTCCTCCTTTACTGAGTTGATTCCCTTTATGTATTTAAATGTTTCTATCATATCCCCCCTGTCTCGTTTTTCTTCCAAACTATACATGTTAAGATCTTTTAACCTTTCCCTGCTAGTTTTATCCTGCAACCCATGAACCAGTTTAGTAATCCATCTCTGATCTCTCTGTAAAGTATCAATATCTTTCTGGAGATACGGTCTCCGGTTCGGCATACAATACTCCAAGTGAAGTCTCACCAGTGTTCTGTACAATGTCACGAGCACTTCCCTCTTTCTACTGCTAATACCTCTCCCTATACAACCAAGCATTCTGCTAGCCTTTCCTGCTGCATTATTACATTGTCTGCCTACCTTTAAATCATCAGAAATAATTACCTCTAATCCCTTTCCTCAGATGTTGAGGTTAGGACTCTATCAAATATTCTGTACTCAGCCCTTGGGTTTTTACGTCCAAGATGCATTATCTTGCACTTATCCACATTAACTGTCAGTTGCCACAACTCTGATCATTTTTCTAGTTTACCTAAATCATTTGCCATTTGGCATATCCCTTCTGGAACATCAACCGTGTACATATCTTAGTATCATCAGCAAAAAGACATACCTTACCATCAAGACCTTCTGCAATATCACAAATAAAAATATTAAAGAGAATGGGTACAAGTACAGATCCCTGAGGTACTCCACTGGTAACAAGACCATGCTTCGAATATACTCCATTGACTACAACCCTGTGTTGCCTGTCACTCAGCCACTGCCTTACCCATTAAACAATATTGGAATCCAAACTTAAAGATTGCAGTTTATTGCTAAGCCTTCTATGTACAACAGTGTCAAAAGCCTAACTGAAATCTAGGTAAGCAATGTTTACTGCAGCACGCTGATCTATTATTTCAGCTACCCAATTAACAAAAATCAATAAGATTAGTTTGGCATGATCTCCCTGAAGTAAACCCATGTTTAGATGTGATTTTAGATGTTCAACAATCCTATCCATTAACATGGTTTCCATTACCTTCCCCACTACTGAAGTAAGGCTTACTGGCCTATGGTTGTCTGACTCCTCCCTTCTACCTTTCTTGGGAATGGGGAGAACATTTGCTAACTTCCAATCTTCTGGGACTACTCCTGTTAACAATGATTGGTTAAATAAATCTGTTAATGGTTTTGCTAGTACACCACTTAGCTCTTTTAATAACTTTGGGTGTATTCCATCAGGGCCCATTGACTTATTTGTCTTTATTTTGACAGTTGAAATATAAACTCTTCCTCTATAGACTCACATGTAACAAATTACTAATTTGTCCTTTTTCCTAACTGAGGCCCCTTTCCTTCATTTTCATCTGTAATTACTGGACAAAAATATTAATTGAGGCAGTCAGCTAGACCTTTATCCTCTTCTACATACCTTCCTTCTTTTGTTTTTAATCTAACCAATCCTTGTTTTACTTTCCTTTTCTCATTTATGTATCTAAAAAAATTTTGACCCCTTTTTTACTGACTGTGCTATTTTCTCTTCTGTGTGTGATTTGGACCCTCTAATAACTTGCTTAGCATCTTTCTGCCTAATTTTATAGCTCAATCTGTCTTCCTCACTGGGTTTTTTTTTTTATAATTACTAAATGCTAACTTTAGTTTTTTTAGAGTACCACAGTGGTTTCTTGAATTTTTTGCTTTTACTGACAAGCCTACTGCAATTTTCTGTTGCCTTCAGCAGTGCAACTTTTAAATAATCCCATTTCTCTTGGATTCTATTTAAATTGCTCCAGTCTGATAATGACTCCTTTACACATTTTCTAATTCTAGAAAAGTCTGTTTTTCTTAAGTCTATTGGTATTGGTAATACATCTTACTAACTTTTTGTCTATTTCTACATAATGTGGGTCCACCCTATCAGAGCATAATTACATTGCTGCCTAGAAAAATGTGTAGAGTGATACACTATAATTCTCTTACATTATGAACGTTTAAGTAAAGTGTTTGACTTTTTTTTTATATAATTCTTTATTTTTGCAGTGCATAGGTCAGTTAACAAGCTTACAGTGACATTTTTAAAGTAAATGAGACCATGAGGTTGGAAGCAAGATTGTCGGATAATGTCAAAGATACAGCACTAAAAAAATTAAAATAAATAACAGTAAATATATTGATGAAAAATATATGCCATACCTAGGGGTGATAGTGAAAGAGGTTATGTTAAAGCAATTGCATTTCCTAGGCACTGATATTGATTAAGTATAGGTCTGAGACATGAAATATCATAGAGTAACAACTAAACATCTCACACTGAGCACACAATTTTAGGCGAAAGTGTTAAAGTTAGGCTAACATTGCTGATGATGTCACACGTTATATCAATGAAAGAATGAGAAACAACAGTAATGTAGCAATATCATTATCTATGTCTTTAGTGCATTAAGAGTCATTTCTTTCAGGTGTGTCTGCGGTGTGAGTTTCCATTAGTAGTCGAGGCTCGCTCGTCATTTGGTGTTAAACAGTACAGTGTTATAGAGGTTTTCTCTTTTAATCTGTGCGACCCAGTAGGGTCTAATGCTCCTAAGCCTTCTGTACTTCGGAGCACAGAGGAAACGTGAGTGTTCCTATTTTAGAGAGTTTCCTAAGAGGTGTGGACTGATAGAGTAACTTCGGTTCTTGTGGGGTGTTGGTTGGTTTGGAACCAGGGTGTTCTCAGTATGGGTTTGAGGGAAAAAGTACCCCTAACCATGGCGGCTGTTGGAGAGGGTGTGGTAGTAGGTTATGTTGAGGTTATGTTGAGGTTAGGTGAGTGTTTAACTTTCTTTATGTCAAAAACCAACTGACAAAAAACTCTCATGATAATACAAAATAATATTAAACAGTATTTTGTTTGTATTATGCATTATATGTCCACCTGATGTCTGTAGTTATAGTGTTTTATTTTATTACCAATTAAATGTCTTTTGAGATATTTGTGCATCTCACGCAAAGCATAAGACATGACTAAGACTGCAAAATGCACCCGTGGAGAAACTTCCTTATGCAGATGATCCTGAGCATTTATTGAAGGTTCATTTCCAGTACAATTTCTGAGAGTGGTTCCATAGACTGTTTCATAAAATCTGTTCTTAGAGGCATTTGGTGACAAACAACCCACTTCTACTCTCCATATATTTTCAAGAAGTTTGTCATTTGGCCGTTTTGAGGGGCGTATAAATGTAAAAAAAATTCCAGAATCAGGAAGCGGTAGAGGATAGAGTTCTATGTACAAGCTTCCTTCAAAAATGTTTATAGAATAATCTGTTAGAAAAACATTAGACGTCCAGGAAGGAGGAAAAACAAATGTCTTGTCTTTGAATAGGTCACGTCCAATTAGTAAAGTCTTGAGAACTATGTAATTAGCTGAGCCATAAACAATGATAACATTTGCAGATGATTTTTGGATAGCGTTTATTTTTCTTCTTGTGTTTTTTAGCTTATGACTTAATGCAGAATAACTAATTTTCAAAGTAAATGCCACACAAATACCATAATAAGCCATATACTTCTTCAAAGCCAGTTCTTCTGTCTCTCCAGTATCATCATATGAGGCCACTATTCCAACCCAAGTCCAGCCAAAGTGCTTCAGACACTGGCAAATAATTTTATAATAGATGTAATTTTGAAGCATTCTGAAAAAGTTTCGATAAAGATGTCTATCATTTAGAACATTGTCCATTGTCCCGTAACTGATCTAGGATCTCAAGAAAATGTGAGGATTAGTAATTTTTTTCCATCAAACTTATTAACCCAATTTATATTAGTAAAATGCCTATTTCCTCAACATAACTACAATCAGCATTATTCAACTTTCTATGTGATTTACTTAAAATGGCCGCTAGGGAGTTTCCCTTTCAACATCGACTAACACCCTCATTAACAAGATGGCGCCGGAATCTGGGGGAGACCTCCAAGATACCAGTGACATCACACCCAGTAGGCAGAGCATTAAATGAACCACTTAACACCTAACCAATTATTGATGATTCCATGTTATCTGTGACAATGCTTATTGTTAAGACACCCCTGGTGTCATTAAGAGAAACCGCCGTTTAGTTAACCTTCCCCCTTTGCAATATCAATAACTCATTTCGCATAGACTGTGGTATACAAACCACCATCCCGAACGGGATCCGTGAAAGGCTCCAAACTCCCGAACAGAAATCCACAAACTGCCGCTAACATCCGAACAAAGATATCCACCAAGCGGCTTTCGGTTCCAGCAATCAGTCTCTAGTCGTCGGTAATAAATCCCCCCAATAACGAGACAAAGCTCCGCATTGAGGGTCAAACAGGATCTGGCTTTACTGTGGGCTACCCGCCCGTATTTATGCAGGTCTCCCACTTGGTGGACACTCCCCTAAGGGACCAAATGGGAGACTGTAATGACAGATAGACATGGGGACATTTCAGACATACAGATGTAAACCTTTCCCACAATGCAATATGGTTTCCTCCACTCTGCCCTGGAGATAATTGAGAAGTAATTCAATTATCTCCAGGACAAAGACAAATCACCATCTTAAATAAAATGCCAGAAAACACACAAAAATATATAATTCCACAACTACCGAACATTTCGTATCACATATCCCCAGATAGCCTGGATCTGAGGGCATATTATTGGCGAATAGCGCTCAGATCCCATACGCATAGTTCAATCACCATGGAGTCAAAGTTCTTACAGTCTTTCGGTATGCGATTGACTCCATGGGAAGGCTATCTGGGTTAAGTCTTTTTGTGTGTTTCAAAACTGCCGAACGGCCGTTTTTCTTATGCTTCCGTTGATGAAGCAGGTCAACACGTTGTTTCAGCGGTGTTCGGCAGAAAAAATGTCCGCTTTTAGATCCATGAAATCAATGCCGAACACTGCTGGTCTTTCGTGCTATCTAAAATGGCAACTGCCTCGTGGTCGACATGCGAACGACGGCCACCCTGTATTCGGTTTTAATTGAGAAGTGTCTGTGGTTAACCACAACGTTCTAATTGGGATCAAGAGGTTAACCAGCAGCACACTTCTATCCTGGGTGGCCATCCGTTCGGTAGGTTTGTTCGGTAAAACAAGTCATTCGTATACATGGGCTATAGAAACAGCCATTTCCACGAAAGGAGGGCAAAATAGACGAATCCACCACGCATAGGCATACAGATGGTTCTGTCACACTTATGATTTAATTTTCCTTTATAAAGGACATGTCGTCCCCCCTGAATAAACAATCCTCAAGTTTTTCATTAACCCGAAACTTGTGTCTGGTGTGAATTAATTCAGGAGCGTGCACGCACTATTTCTTTAATTTGGTCAGGGGCAGATACGCAAGATAATCAATTTATTGATTGATATCCACATAATTTGGCGCCCAACGTGGGGCATCGGATCTCGCCAGTTCGGATGGCTGTAAACCGGAACCAGAGCAGACCTGCGGAAAGTAGGACAACCGGAGCCTGATCACCTCCTAAATACAGCGGTTTGCCTGTTTTCTCCTGTTTTCTGTTGGTCTGTCTCTGTGTCCACTTCCGGCTTCCAGAAGGCTACAAGACAGGTAATCTCTTATCCGGTGCCTTTTAAACGAACCTGTCAATTGTCTATCTACCTCCTGAATATTTGTGTGTATGTGAGACAGCTGGCATATGGTTTGTGCTTATTATCATAGCTTGACTGCCAGACTGGCAGGGAACGCAACTGCCCGGTAAAGGGCTGGGGATTAACTGCCCGGTAAAGGGCTGGGGATTGACCGCCCCCGGTAGAGGGCTGGGGACCGCCCGGTAAAGGGCTGGGGACCGTCTAGAGAAAGGTTGGGAGTATTGACCGCCCGGTAGAGGGCTGGGAACCGCCTAGAGAAAGGCTGGTAATTTTGTTGTATTGTTCAGAGTAGAACAGGGTTCATTTACTGTTTAATTATTGCTATGTTCACATTTTTATTGTTCCTTGTTATATTTTGTTTCCTATTCAGTTGTGGACATAGCGTGGGTACCCTTGTTGTGTGTGTGTGTGTGTTGTGTGGTTCGTCCTGGATTCCGGATTATGTGCACATCTCTATATTTGTGACTCCTGTAAATGTTTTTTGATTAGTCTCTCTACATTCATCTTTTCCCTTATACTTTATTTATTCTGTACTTGTTGCCCAGAAATGTGTTAGTCACCCACGCTCGCCCGCTCAGATCCGTGGCCACCATCTTGGGTGGGCGGATCCTGTGACTAGTCTACGTTTAGGGAAGATGAACAGGAATCAATTCCTCGTGGCAGTCGAACACTGTAGACATTCCTTCTTTTTCTTCTCTCTATCTCTGTCCCTCTTACGGGGAAAGACTGGTTTGGGAAAAATGGGACAGGAACATGCTAGACCTTCAAAGGGTTTCTTAGCTTGTGATATTGTTAAAGAGAGGGAAGGAGAGGAGGCTATGTTAAAAATGAAAAAGATAGCAAAAGTTTATGGTTTTCAAATGTCACCCTGTAGTAGATTGCAAACAGAGTTCTGGAGAAAATTGCTCACTGATAAAGAGGGCATACTACTGGATAATGGGTTGACAAAAGCCGTAGAAGCTTGGTATCGTGAAGCGAGAGGACTCAAACGGGAGAGTTGGTCAGAAGAAGAAATTGATTTTGAAGGACAAACAATTTATGTGTATCACAGAAATGTTTGTAATGATGATGATTCATCCCTTGTTGTTCCCCGGCCACTGCCCTATGATGGCGCCCAGAATGCTGCAAATGATCCCCGCCCCATCTCCCCAGACACTGCCCAGTCTCCACCTCCCATTGCCAAAGGCCCTCCTGCTCCCCATTCTCGGGGCGGACGGATCCTACTATTATACCTTCCCTCTCCCGTCTTCTCCACCACACCTCCTGTTATCCCTGTTCCCCTCCCACTTCCTGCCCCACTCCCCACCAATACTGCCTCTCTTCCACTCTCACAAGTCGTTACTGACGCCATCCCTCTACCATGTTTCCCTGCAACTTCTCCTGATGCTGTCCCTCCCTCATCATCCTCTACTACTCTTCCTGTTGCTCCAATTCCTGTTTCCCCTCCTCCTTCATGTACTACTACCCCCGACACATCTCTGGTTCCTCTCCCTGTTGTTCATTCAGCCCCCGTTTCCCCCTTGCCGTCTTCCGTGATACCCCCTGTTGTATCCATATTTCCCCCTTCTGCTGTCATTCCGTCCACTCCTGTCCCTGCTCCCCCTCTCCCTGCCACTCCTTCAGTCCCCGTCCCAGATTCCTCTCCCCTCCCCACCTCTAATCCTCTCACTCCTCCTTCCTTCGACCTCCCATCTATTATTTCCACCCTCTCTGCCTCTCTTGCCTCTCTTGCCTCTCCTCCTATTCCAACCTCTCCACCCCCTTCTACACTCTCTGTCCCCATTCCAGATCTTCCTCCTCTTCCCGCATCTTCTCCTCTTTTCGATCTTTCATCTCTTATTTTCGCCCTCTCTGCCTCTCTCGCCTCTACTCCTACTCCTACTTCTCCACCCCTTCCACACCCTCTGTCTCCATTTCAGATCCTCCCCCCTTCCCGCATCTTCTCCTCCTTTCGATCTTTCATCTCTTATTTCCGCCCTCACTGACTCTCTTGCTTCTCCTCCTATTCCTACGCCTACTTCTCCACCCCCTTCCACTCTCTCTGTCCCCGTTCCAGATCCTTCCCCCCTTCCCACATCTAATCCTATCACTCCTCCTTCTTTTGATCTTTCATCTCTTATTTCCGCCCTTTCTGCCTCTCTCGCTGAATGTCATTAATAGCCCAGCCCAACGCGGGCTGAAGGAACAAACTTATGTTTTTTTTATAATAAACACGCAAACAGCAATAGGAAAAGCCACGTCTGGGCCAGACGCGGCAGTGCCCCATGAGCTTCGAAGGATGCGGCTGTTTTTCTTTCTTTACAAGACTGAGATAAAATAAATACTTGCGTAGGCCTCACAAGACCAAAACACCTTTGTAGATGGTTCTGTACTAAACCAGGAGGTCTCAGCCCAGAGGAAGAGGAGGTTCCCACCACCATCCTGTGATAACCCCTCCCACAACTACAGGCTTTGCCTAAAGGCTCAGCTTTGTCATATTATATATATATATATATATATATATGTATTAAGGCAATTTGCCTGCATTTGTGGGAGGTGCTGGTTTGCTACCCCTAGCCTACTTAAGGCACTCCCCTTGCCTGGCTCCTTACCGTTCGAGGTCAGCGTTGAATGAGGATCCACTTCCGGGTTCTCTCAGACGCCATCTTGGTTTCAGTATCCAGGAGGTTTCACCACGTTAAGCTGTGTCCAGGAATCCTGTTCAGGCCTTTCCGCCCGTCCAGCTTCTTCTGACTCCGTTCTCCGTCGTAGATCGCGTCCCAGGGACTCCTAAACCGTAAGTCAGACCTTCCTGTCACGCCAGGACTGGTTCCCACGGCGTACGGTACAGCACGGGTCCTCGCTTTACGTTTTTTTCCCTGGTTATGACACGAATGTTTCAAGCCATTCGCGGGCTTTCATTCGTACGGTCATTCGGTTGAACATATTTAAATCGTTCAATAGTCATTTCGCATATCCTATTTCATGTTATTGAAACGATTTATCAGTCGGTTGTTTTTCCGTTCGGCAAATTTTACATACGCTCATCCACGCTTTTGGTTCGCATAATCATACGGTTAAACTATTCTAACTTCGGTGTTCCCATTTGCTTTCGGCTT